TTTTGTGACTGATTTATTTCACTCAGCGTAACATCTCTGTGCTCTACTGTTTATAAGGTTTTCTAAAGCCTGTTGTTTCAGAAGTGGGTAGCCAGTCTTTCTTCCTAATTTGCCTTAACCTGGTTTAGTATACCATCTGACAGATAATGACTGTACCCATGATGACAGACAATAAACAAGCAAATCTATACATGTGTAAGCTAGTAAGAGCAGCAACATGCCCAACACTCCCCCAGTACAAGCAACTGACAGACAAGCAATGATAATCATAAGATATAGGAAAAAATGGACATTGTAAAAAATTAAATGGAACACATAAACATGGATATAACTAGGCATTAGCGAGCTGAGATGGACTAGCATTGGCCATTATGAATGCAATAATCATATCATTTTATGGGAATGAAAATTTGAGGAAGAATGGTGATGTGTTCATAGTTAAGAGGACCCTTTCAAGACTGATCTGGAGTACAATGCTGTGAGCAGCAGGATACTATTCATACACATACAAGAAATACCTGTTAATGCAACTATTATTCACACATACGCACCAAGAGCTAAAGCCAAAGAGGAGGAAATTGAGGGTTTCTACCAACTTTTACACTTTGAAATTGACCAAACATGTAATCAGGATGCATTAATTGCATCTTAATTTTGGTGAATTGGTGAATTGGTGACTGGGATGCAAACATTTTAAACAATGAACAAAGAATGGTAGTTAGAAAACATGGATTTTGTGAGAGAAACTAAACTGCAGAACAAATGATTGAGCTTTGTATATTCAAGGGTTTATTCACAAATACTTTATTTTAACTTTTAAAAAAATTTTATTATTTTGTGTGTGTGTGTACCTTCAAATCAGATCTGACTGGTACAGGAGGAGATTGTTCCTCCTTCTCTAGCAAAGCATCTGGTGGATTTGAACCGTGCAGCTGTGGGATTTCAGTACACCTTCTTGCCACTAGGCCACCAGAGCTCACCCGCAAATATTTTTTTTTTTAAGAAACACAAATGGTGACCCCCAAATCAGGACCTTACCTGATGGGAAAACTCATTATCAGCAGTGAAAACCAGTCCAAATGCAGATTGTGAAACAGTCCATCAGTTGCTCCTGTGCAATTACAAATGGAAACGGAATAAAATGCAAACAAGTCCACAAAAATGAAAATAGGACCTTCCTTGAGTCAATCTCATCTGCATTTAAAAATAATCTCAAGAGTAGATTTGAGCAGAGCCTGTCCACTTGTCCACATTTCAGGATGGCTTGCTCCATGGAACCACTGGCAAAGAACTTGAAAAGAATCTTAGAAGAGGAATCTATGGGTATTTTTGGATCTTTTGTTTAATAAAAAGAACACAAGCCAAGATTTCTGAGAAATAAGAAACCAGAAATTTCTCTTAATCTTGGAAATTTATTACAAATCCATTGGACAATTTCAAATGTGTAGAATCAGAGAGCAAGATCAAGACAAATGCCTTAACAGCAAAACTCGAGGGCTCAGCATTCCACTTAAACTTTTGAGACTTTTGAAAAGAAAAACTAGTATATTCATACAATGGAATACTATGCACAACTTGGGAGACCCCGGGGCACATCATACTGAGTGAAGTAGCTGTCACAAAAGGACAAATACTGCATTTGTTGTTATGTGCCATCGAGTCGCTTGCGACTCATGCTGACCCTATGTATAAGAACCCTAAATGCTGTTCTATCCTGTGCCAACCTTGCTGTCTCTGACAAAGTCATTCCCACCACCCCAATCACAGAATTGATCCATCTCATCAAGAGTCTTCCTCTCTCGCACTGTTCCTCTACTCTCCCAAACATGATGTCCCTCTCCAAGGACCAGTCCCTCCTTGCAACATGCCCAAAGTATGTCAGATGAAGCTTCAGAATCCTTCACTCCAAGGAGTGTTCTGGCTTCACCCTCTCTAGGACAAACCTGTTTGTTCTTCTAGCAGTCCATGGTATATTCAGCACTTCTCCAACACCACAGCTCAAAGGCATCAATTCTCTTTCTATCATCCCTATTAACTGTCCAACTCTCCGATGCATATATAGCACGTAATTGTGAAGACTATAGCCCGGATCAGGAGCACCTTAGTCTCCAGCCTGATGTCGTTGCTCTTCAGTACTCATAAGAGGTCCCTCACAGCTGACTTTCCCAATGCAATTCGTCTCTTGATTTCCTGGCTGCTGGTACCAAGAGTGTTGACTGTGGAGCCAAGTAAACTAAAAGTGTTAACTATTCTCAAACTCTTCACCATCCATAGTAATGCTGCCAGTTGGCTCAGTGGTGAGAATCTTTGTTTTCTTGATGTTGAGCTTTAATCAGTGTTGAAGGCTGCAGTCCCTGACCTACAGCAAGTGCATGAGGTCCTCCTCAGTTTCAGCAGGCAGGATTGTGTCATCTACATAATGCAGGTGTTGATGACTCTCCCACCAATCCTGATGCCACATTCCTCCTCATACAGACCAGCATCTCGGATGATCTGTTCGGCATACAGACTGAAAAGGTATGGAGACAAAATCCATCTCTGACAGACCCCCTTCTTGATTTTGAACAATGTAGTGTCTCCTTGTTCTGTTCTGACGATTGCCTCTTGGTCCAAGTATAGGTTTCACATTAGCACAATCAAATGTTCTGGGATTCCCATTCTTCTCAGAGTCAGCCACAGCTTCTTGTGATCCACACAGTCAAAAGCTTTTGCATAATCAATGAAGCAAAGATAGACATTCCTCTAGTACTCTTTGTTTTCTGCCAAGATCCATCTAACATTAGCTATAATATCCCTAGTACCACGACCTCTTCTAAATCCAGCCTGCACATCTGGCAGTTCTCTGTTGACATAACTCCAATCATTTTTGGATAATTTTCATAGCACCACTGTTATAAGCAGGTTTGACATGGGGGGTTGGAAGGAGAACAGGTAGGAGCGAATAGACAATGACCAATGCGTTCAAACAGATCAAAGAAAGAACTGTCTAAAATGAATATATGATTAGGCATTACACTTACAACAACAGCCTAGATTAAGAGGTGTATCATTGCAAAGAGGCCTAGGGGATGGGGTTTGGGAGGAGGCAGGTAATTGTACAACAGTGAATGAATTTAAAACAGTAAACTGGGAGAGTGGGGGAAATGTGCAACAAAGAGTGAATGAAAATCTAACTTTCTAAAAATAAAATTTTGATTAAAAAAACCCGAAAACGAGAAGCGGAGGCGGCACAGAGTACACATGTATGACCTTCTACAGTGAGGTGAAGCAAATAGAGAAGAGAGATTCGGTTTTAATATCCAAAAATCAGATTGAAAGATTGACCCGACCTGTCCTGGTTCCTCCTACTTCAACTTGAACCCTTTTTAGGTTTTTCAGATGGATCTTGAAGTGACAGATGAAGAAATAAAAAAGATATTTCGGCAGTTATCTATCTTGGTGCATCCTGACAAAAATCAAGGTGATGCTGACCGAGCAGAAAAGGCCTTTGAAGCTGTGGACAAAGCTTACAAGTTGCTACTGGGTCAGGAACATAAGGCGTCGGCCCTGTATGTAATTCAGGCAGGAAAAGAATACGTGGAACACACTGTAAAAGAGCAAAAAAAAAATCAGTTAAAGAAGGAAGAGACATCTACAAATGTGGAAGAAGATGATCCTGAGCTGTTCAAACAGGCAGTATACAAACAGACCATGAAAACTCTTTGCTGAACTGGATATTAAAACAAGGAGAAGCCAAAGAGATGCATGAAAGGAAGCCACAAAAGGAAGATGAGATTGAAGCCAAGAAAAAGCCAAACGAGGGAGGGAATGGCAGAAAAACTTTGAGGAAAGTCGAGATGATCGTGTGGATAGCTGGCGAAATTTCCAAGCAAACACAAAAGGCAAGAAAGAGAAGAAAAATCGAACTTTCCTGAGACCACCAAAAATAAAAATGGAGCAGCGTGAATGACCCCTTGGGGTCACAGTTACGGAACCTTCCTCCAACTGCTTCCTTCTTCTGCCTCCTGCTTTGAAGGACTCATTCTTTCCTCCCCAGTATAGAGTAATATTTACTTTTTAGTCCATTTTGTTTCAATACAGTTTAATATCAAATCAGAGCAATTTTTTTGTTTTTACATTGAAATGAGGGGATCGGTTTTAAAAAAATAAAAGACCTTCCCCACTCCCCATACTACAAGCAACAAGGATAGGAAGTTGCCACCTTGGTGCACCTTCTGTTCACACAGCCTGTAACTTAATGTTTTGTACTTCACTGCAATGGTGATGGTTAGAACTTTGTGCATCGTTTATGGAAATCATCCAATTAAACACGTTGCTTAAAATGGTGTTTCAGTGACTTCTGAGACCAGCCCGGAACACTTAGGAAGCGCTTTTCCTTCAGCTGCTCCTTTGAAGCTGCAGCTCAGATCTGGAAAGCAGTGAAGTCAGGCAGAGCAGTCACTGTTGACAGGCTGCCCCATGGTGTTTGGCTTGTGCCCTCCTAACCTGCTTGACAAATCAACGTGGCATGAGGCTCCAAGGCACACAAACCTATCCACTTTCCAAAGAGCTAGCTGTCCGCTATGCAGTTCTTTGTCCCCCAGCCTGTGTGTATTCAGTAGTAAAATTCTGTATGTGTAATAAATTTTTATACCCACGCCAAAAAAAACACAGATAACAAAATTTCCCCTAAGTATAGCATATACAAGGGCATAAACCACAGACAGAGAAAATATCGGGGAAAGGGAGAGGGGACGGGGAAATCCTCGTTTGTTGAGGCCATAGGAAGATACTTGGGCAGGACACAAAGTCGCTCTGTACAGACTCCAAGGGGTGGGTGGGGTAAAGTGAAAGCACGCACGCTTACTTACCCCAGGACTACAAATCCCAGAATGCTCGGCAGCCAGAGATGTTCATCGGGAAATATCCCGTGAGCCTGAGCGAGAAGGTGAAGTTTAGCGTGAAGCAGCGTGACGGTTCGCTTCTGGGTCTGGTCCATAGGACTTGGTGTTATTGCTGCAGCCATGCCCATGAAGGGCCGCTTTCCCATCCGCCGCACCCTGCAGTACCTGGCCCAGGGTGACGTGATCTTCAAGGAGTCCGTCAAGATCATGACTGTGAATTACAACACAAAAGGGGAGCTGGGCGAGGGCGCAAGGTTAGTCCAAGCCGGTAAGGCTGCCCCGCCGACCTTGCAAACTCTCAGATGTTCTTTATTTTAACAGGCTGGAAACGGCGATTGAGACACAAAGTTGTGTTAGGCGTCTCGTTAATCCTGGGTGTGGTGGGCATGTTTCTCTCGTTACCCCCATTTCACAGAAGAGGAAACTGGAGCAGTTGCTCCACGTCGCGGGCGGGAGGAGCAGGGCAGTGGATGGCGCGAGCCGCGGCCCGCTTGGCCGTGGGACCCTGCTCTGCCTTGTGGTGGTAGAGGTGGAAGGGCAGGTGGCCCTCTTCCTCCTTCGCTGGGATTGGAGAGTGGGCTCTAGCCTCTGTCGTATGCCAGATGAGCGAGTGGTGGGAACGTCTGCCCCTGGGCATTTCCATGAAGAGATCTTCACTGATCTGCACTGAGCTCAGCTCCTGATTGACATCTGTCACGCTAGTTGGCTTTGTCATCTGCCACACGTGGTAACAGCTGTGTCTCAGGGCTGATTGGAAGAAGTTAGGTGATCTTGAGCCAACTCCTAGGAGCCCATGCGACAGGGTAGAATTGTCCCATACGTAATGCCAGCCCTGTGCCTTGTGCCTTTGTGGTGTAGACATCTAGCAGGCCGATTTTGATTTTGATTTAGAGGCCTTCGGTGTTGAGAAATAGTCCTCTTTTGTCTTGGTGATTTATTTCTCTCCGTTTTGATATTTCTTTCTAAAACTACTCTGTGTGCTGCACCTCTTGGATCTTAGAATTTGTCAAATTTTATTTGTGATTTGAATGGAAGCTCATAGAGAATTTGTTTTTTTACATCCTCTTCCTTGCTCATTTTTATTCTTTACTAGTCCCCCATTCCATCCATAATTCCTGTTCGATTGTTAACTGCCAGTACACATAATGTCTGATCATTTAGTTCAGCTTGACCTTCCCTTTACCTCTTCCAGTACACTGTTCATTAGCCATTATTTCCTGCTCTCCCTGCCACCCTTTCCCCAATCCAGCTTATTGTGACAGTGCAGTATTTGTCCTTTTGTGACAGAACTATTTAATTCATAAGGTCCAGTAGACTTATCCATGTTGTGTAAGTTTCACAAGTTTGTCATTATTTTTCAGTGCTGCGTAATAACTGCATTGTGTGAGAGACCCACAGTTTATTAATTTGGCTGCTCCCATCTCTTTGCAATTGTGAATAATGCTACAGTAAAGATGAGTGGCATATATCTGTTTGTATCACAGCTCTAAATTCTATCTTTACAGGATTTATTCCCAGTACTGAAGTAGCTGGATCAAATGGTATTAATATTTCCATCTTTTTGAGGAAAAATGCTTTCCATAGATTTTTGTACCATTTTACATTCTCACCAGTAGTGTATGAAATTTCTAATCTGTGCATCCTCACCAACATTTGTTGTTTGCAGTCATGTTGAATTTTATTATTGCTGGGGTGAGATGGTATCTTACTGGTGTTTTATTTGCATCTCTCTTAATAGTCTGCTGTCAGAGACCTCTCCAAAGTATTGAAGAGCAATGATGTCAGTCTAGAGATTAAGGTGCATCTGATACAGGCCATGGTCTTTGCAATTACTTGCTATTCATCAGAGAGCTGGACAGTGACAAGGGATGAAATAAGGAGAGTTGATGCCTTGAGCTGTAGTGCTGGAGAAAAGTATTGAATATATTATGGACTGCTAGGAGAACAAACAAGTTTGTCTTGGAGAGGGTGAAGCCAGGCTGCTCTTTGGAGGCAAGGATTCTGAAGCTTTGTCTGACATACTTTGGGCATGTTGCAAGGTGGGATCAGTCCTTGGAGAGGGACATCATGTTTGGGAGGGTAGAGGGACCGTGTAGGAGAGAAAGACCCTCAATGAGATAGATTGATTCAGTCACTGGGATAATGGGGATGGGCGTTTTGGAGACAATAAGATTGGCATGGGATAGGGAAGGGCTTAGGACTGTTGTACGTAGGGGCGCTATGAGTCGCAGGCTACTTGATGGCACATAACAACATTAGTCAGGGACCTCTCTAGAGTACTGGAAGTGCAACAGTGTCAGTTTGGAGATTAAGGTGCGCCTGATCCAGGCCATAGTCTTCACAGTTACTTGCTATGGATCAGAAAGCTGGACAGGGATTAAGGATGACAGAAGGAGAATTGATGCCTTTGAGCTGTGGTGCTGGAGAAGAGTATTGAATATATCATAGACTGCTAGGAGAACAAACAGATTCATCCTGGAGAGGGTGTAACCAGGCTGCACCTTGGAAGCAAGGATTCTGAAGCTCCATCTGACATATTTTGGGCATGTTGCAAGGTGGGACCAGTGCTTGGAAAGGGACATTATGCTTGGGAAGGTAAAGGGACAGTGCAGGAGGGGAAGACCCTGGATGAGATGGATTAACTCAGTGACTTGGGGTAATGAGGGTGAGTATGTTAGAGACAATGAGGTCAGCTCAGGATGGGGCAGGGTTCAGAGCTGTTGTACATAGAATTGCTTTGAGTTGCAAGTGACTTGATGGCACATATCAACAATAGCTAGTTCTATTGGCCTTGTAGTAAGAAACAGCACTGCAATCCCAAAGGCATGTGGTTTGAATCCACCAGCTTCTCAGCAAGAGATGAGCAATCTCCTCCTGTGTGATTAATTGCTTTTGATAACCTTCTAGAGAGTCAGCTATGGGTTAGTTCTGACTCGAAGGTACAAAACAACAGTGATACCTAGTTATCTACATGTGTTTGGCTTTGAATATTGTTTATTGAAGAGTCATCATCTCTTGTGCCCATTTTGTTATTGGCTTGCTTTTCTTTTTCTTGTTGAGGTGCTGGAGTCTCTAATTTTTAGATATGAGTTCCTAAATTTAGTCTCCATTGCCAGATATGTCATTGCCAAGTATTTTATAAAACTTTTTACCCAATTGGAGTTTTTTGATGCACACAGGATTTGATTTTTAGAAGGTCCCATTCATGGTTTTATCTTCTCTAGGTTTAGATTTTTTTTTATTGTGTTTTAAAATCTATTCATGCCATAAATTATGGCTTAAGTTTGTTCCTGTATTCTTTCTGATGACCTTTATAGGTGAGGTGGCAAAATTGACCAGTTACCACATTAGAATTTTACAATGTGGAAACTATTGAATACTATCACATGCAAGCAAAATTGTGCTGAAGATTGTCCAGAAATGGTTAGAACAGTAGTACATTGACAAAGAACTGCCAGAAATATAAATCAGATTTAGAAGGGCTGTGGCACTAGAAGTATCATTGCTGATGTTAGCTAGATCTTCTTGGCTGAAAGCAGAGTGTACCAGAAATATGACCACTTTTGTTTGGTGGAGTTTTTTGGGAGGGTTTACTTGTGTTTTATCGACCATGCAAAGACATTTATGACTGTGTGGATTACAATAGATTATGGCTAACATTAAGAAGAATGGGACTCTCTGAGCACTTAATTGTGCTCTTGTGAACAGCTCAGGGGCTGTTGTTAGAACAGAGCAAGGGAACACTGTGTGGTTCAAAATCAGCGAATATACTCATGGGTTTTTGGAACTGTTTTTCTCTACCTTTTTTAAGGATTAGGGACCTGTCTTTAATAATCTGATGAAAAATTCTGGACTTTCTCCTCCCCAAAAAAACACACATGTGCACAAAATTTAGGCTAAACATACATTTTCACAGGCCTAATTTCTTTCCTTTTGCAGGAAATTTGTGTTTTTCAATATACCTCAAATCCAATATAAAAACCCTTGGGTGCAGATCATGCTGTTTAAAAACATGACACCATCTCCCTTCCTGCGGTTCTACTTAGGTGAGTAAGTGGGGCCTCCCTGAACACTCATACCTGGGAGTGTGCTTATTTCAGTCAGGGGGCTTATTCTGAAGGCCACATTTCTTGGCCCAGGTCTCTACTGAATCATCCTGACTGAACAAGTAATTTTCCTATTTATTTCTCTCGTGGGAGTCCTGGGGGCACAGTCCTGAGGGAGTTGCTCTGCTTACTCAAATGCCGAGCCTGTCGGTTTGAATCCGTCAGCAAATTCTGAGTGTGAAAGAATGGCAGTCTCCTCCAGTGTGATTTACAGCCTCAGAAACCCACTGGCGTCAGCTGTGAATCAGTTCTGATTCGGTGGCACTAAGTGGGAGTTTATTTCTCAAGTGGATTCAAAACATCTGCCTTATACAGTTATAAGAATTAAATGAACTATATAGATGGGAAAATGTTTCAGGAGACAAAATTCTGTGTTTTCACTCATTCAGCAAATATTAAGCATATGTCTCTAGGAATCAGGCTGTTTTAGGTTCTTGAGGGTCAAGGATCCAAACAAAGGCTTCTGCTTTTATAGAGATTATATAGTAACAGAAGACATAGAAGGAAAACTAACAGGATGGTTTAGAAGGGAAGTGGTATTTTAAAAAAGAAAAACAGAGCAAGGAAAGGGGGATGAAGAGAAGGGTGGTGGCATGCTAATTTTGTGCTGATTTTTTAAATTTAGTGAGGTATAATTTACATATGTTTTTTACATATGTACTGGTTTATTTAGATCTTAATTGTATGGTTAAGTTTGATGAGTTTTCATAGTTGCATTCCCCTGTGTAACCACTTTTTTGATGATGGAACAGACCTTTCTTTCACTGCAGAATGTTCCTTAGTGCTACTTTTTAATGAAATTGCCATTTCCTAAAAAGCTACTACAGATATGATGATTTTCACCACAGATTAATGTTTTGGCTTTACAGTTTCATATAAATCTCTGTTGTCTACTTCTATGTCTGGCTTCTCTCACCTGTAATGCTCTTCAGATTCACCCATTTGTATGGATCAGTAGTTTACTGTGTTGTATGGTTACCTGTTGGGTACTTGATACCCTACTTGATCTGCAACGCCAGCAGGCTCTTAGTAAGTCTATAAGAGTTGATTTAATCTATTCACATGTTCAGCAGCTCATGTGTTTGGAATCACAGAAGCCAAGGAAGCTTCACTTATAAGTTATTAGATGGGAGAAAGATGTGAAGGGAGGGGGTAGAAGTGGATGGGTATCCTGGTGGATGGTGGAGCAGGGAAATAAGTGGGTAAAGACGCGTGTGAGAAAGGCAGGGACAACACTGACACTAAAGTTAACTCCACAATAAGGGACATACCTTTAACTTG